TAGGAATGGATATCGGGTTCAACAAACAATAAGGAATGTATGTGAGCTCGGTGCGACCGATGAGCCATGTCATCCGCCAACGGACCGCCATCTGGCGTACATGCATATATAGGCGGTCGTCGTGTTCCCAGCGGCCTCGAAGGGATGAAGGTCCCCAGCACACAGTCAATGCGCTTTTGTCGTGATCATCGACATCATTCTTACACGGGTCTCTTGATCAAGCCTCTGTATAGCTGCTACGCAAAATTGAACGGCATCGACGATGGCTCGGTCAGCGACTAATATGCTGCTGGGCATCGCCTTGCTATTGTGCGCCATCATTCAAGCCCAAGCGCAAACCTACATCGGCTGCTCAACCATCTTTCAGCGAGGGCAACTCGACCCAGCCCCCTACGATAGAAACACAGAAGCCGAATGCTTAGTGAGTGTCTTGACGAACTCATACCGAAGTGCTACAGCGGATCAGTCGCTGACGAGTCTTGCAAGGCAACGTGCCAAGAGACCCGAGATACTTCGCCATACATGTATTATCAGCCTTCAACCATTATTTGCGTGTGTTCGAGCATCTCTCCACCGGAATCCATCTTGGTTGCCGGCGACAGTGCAGGTAACTGCGATGCCAGCCGATATCATGTAAGTACGATCTCAAACCTGCACGTAAAGCGATGAGACACTGACGAGGCTTCGTCTATAAACAGATCCTGGATCTGACGACCTCTTTCGAGTTCCAAGGATGTTACACGGATGTAGTGTCCGATTCGTGAGTCAATATCCGTCGATCCACTTCAGACCACTGACGTGTCGCACCTCGAACCGTCTCTTTGTTGGAGCTCTGCTGACCCTTGCATCGTTTAGTGCGCCGGCATCTTCTGCAACTCTGCATAGCTGCTTCTCGTCATGCGCCTCAGTCGGTTCGGCTATATTCATCCCTAACTCCAACACGGGCCAATTCGACTGTCGATGTAACGATGCCTACACCATCGATTCTGCTGGCGCAGGCGGAAGCGCTACCAGCTGTGCTCCCAATGCCTACTTCGCGTATACGCATAGCCCCGATGCCAGTGCGAGTGGCTTGGCTAGAAGGAGGATCAGAGCTCGACTGGAACAACTCCGTCTGGAAAAGCAAAGTCCTTGTCCCAGGGGTATGACGGCTTGTTCCCTTGAAGGTTCGGCGGACGCATACGAAGTAAGTCACCCATTATGAAGCTTACTGCTGGTGACTAGACTGATCTTGCTTTCATTCCTACAGTGCATCGACACGCGATCGGAACTGGAATCGTGCGGCGGATGTATGTACGGGGTGTACCAGGAAGCATTCAATGGCATAAGCAACGGTACTGTAGGACTCAAGTGAGTATCACTCTTCACGGATCGTTACAATCCTGATCCCGAGCAACATCCTTGCTGACTTCTCAACCCATATAGCTGTGCGAATCTTGACGGCGTCACGATGGGAGGAGCGACTTGCAGGCAATCCTCTTGCGAAGCGTATGCGTGCAAGGAAGGGTACGGTCTTGTTTCGGGTAGATGTGTATCTATAGTATAATGAAGCAGGAAGAAGTAGCAAAACTGTAGCGCACTAGTGTATCTTCCTGTCTGTTTCCCTCATTTTACTTGGGCTCTGGGCGTAAATTGTCATTCATCTTAGTTTAGACCGAACGTCCGATACTGCATTGCATTTTAAGTACATATAATCTCGCTATGTGCCCCCTACGGCCACTGGACATTGCCTCGCAAGTAGATCAGGCGATAAGAAAGAAGGCAGAAGCTGTTTCACGCACGATTATCACCCCGCTCTGGCGGTCCTCGACCGAAATCGACCGTTGCAAGAGGTCACCGACGCGACATCCTTATTGTTGTCGAGTGTTGTGATTCATGTGGTTTCCCGGGATCGGGTTCGACAAGGGGTCTGCTACCTTCGACAGGAGGAGAGAGGATCTTCGCGTACAGGTACATAAGGTGTTCAGGTGGCGCAAAGGCACACCCCCAAATTGAGACTGCCGTCCATACAACGTTTCTGACCCAGTCCCTTGCTTGTTCTCATCGACCTAATACTTACTACGATCCTGACCCCAACCTTCTTCACCCGTTTGTCAGCCCTGGTCATCCTGTCCTCACTCGCCTTGCGTGTGAGCGCAGTAGGCTTTCCAGAATGCACCGACGCATACAGTCAAGCTAATGGCGGTCTGGAACCCGCCCCTGTCGACACTGCCTGCGACTGCGCTGTAGGTGAAAATACTTGAGCGTGGTGTCTTTTTCCATTCTTCCTGGTCGAGGACAGTATCACGCGAACCTACACTTGATGATACCCATCAAGAGGTGTGTGATATCCTGCTAGACACATCAAATTATGCACTAGCAGAGGTCCCTCGCACCAGCAGAGGTGTTTGGTGCATGTCTCCTGGCTGTGCGTCTTCCCTACTGCTTATCCTCAGTGAGCTGTATTCACTGAATGGTAGTGCCGTACGATGAGTCCGACCCGGAGCCGAGTATTCGGACCGGGTACGCACCCGAGCAGGACGACTACCGTTCACCCTCGATGCCGCCCGACATCTGGTCAGCCTAAAACTGCAGAAGAAGTCTCGATGCACCTTCGGCTACCAGCGGTGTCCTCTTACTGTCCAGCTATTCGCTCATATTTTTTCACAATTGTGAACGAGATGTTTACTCTGATTCCGCACCCCCCAACCGATCAGGGTGAGGTCGATCCGATACCTGAATCATACAGTATTCACACCAAGTGGAAGCCAGACTAGCTCAACCCTGTGAGGTCCCGTACCGACATGTCAGGTCAAGACCGTCGTAAAGCAAAAACAAGAACGACCAAACAAAGCGCCTTGGTTCCGTAATTCTGGCATGTGCACATCGATCCGCAACTCGGGTGCCTGAATCAACCGATCATCCGGTGGGTTTGTCACCATCCCATGTCGCTGCCAGTACAAGCATGTGCACTCGAGACTTCATGTCCATAATTGAGGTATACATGGATTATACACTTCGCAGGAATCTTTGAAAACAATTCAGCTCGAGTTGCGGCATGTGGGTCGCCAAGATGGTGGCGTGAAATCAACTCGTGAACCCTTGCTGATCAACTCATGAGCAATTCCGACATGCAGGGTTAATTGAGTTCAAGAGGAGTCACCACGATGCCGGGACAGTCCTTACAGTAGGACTTTGGCTGGTTTCATCGATGTTAACAGCTGTCTCTACTTACTCTTGATTCCACTAGAAACAGTCAACAAACATTCGTAGAGACGATGATGGGACCATGCACACCTTCGAAGCTGCCCCGGGCTCGATGTATAAATACGAGCAGGGAGATTATCAGCTCGGGGTTTTCATAATCTTTCTTGATCAATTGAAAACAACTCCATATACTTAGACCGCCAAGATGCCTTCCTCTCTCCTCACCAAATTGGCAACCGCTGTCGTTATCGCCTCGGCTGTCCTTGGCGTACAGGCCGACACATACTTGGGATGCACATCTTCTGCGCCTGCCACCGAAGGCGATCCAGCTCCCTATTCCGCTGGTGCCGCATCCAGTTGCTCCGTGAGTGGCAAGCTCCTCATGACCACATTCCGCACAGGTGTGGCCGACTCTTTCAGGCTGAGGTATGGGACATGCCGGCTAATCAGGCGTCATCGAGCAGGTTTATTGCAGTAATTTTGGTGACACCGCATACTACTATTATTCGACTTCGACCGGAGCCTGTCAATGTTCAAACACCATTGCTTCGTCCCAGATATTCGAGGACGGCACGAATACGAAAGGACAGTGTTTCGACAACCAATATACCGTAAGTAGTATGCCTCCTCCATTTCCCTCGGAACTACTCCTCGTGAGAGATTGCGGCTGTACCAACATTTGTAACTTGCTTGTGCTGACACGTAAAGCATTGTCCTGGCAGTTCTACCAAAGAGCGGAGACTTCTTTCACCTTCCAAGGTTGTTACTACTATGCGAACCCCGACCAGTGAGTCAATCCGATTGTTGTGCATCAGATAGTCTTGCAGCACTCGTACGAGGACGACGTTGACAGCTGTACATCGTGAATCTCAGCTCCAACGACCAGTACCTTGACACTCCTGCAGAATGTTTCACATACTGCAGGAATCAGGGCACGGCAGTTGTCACCCCCTTCCCCATGACGGACAACTACGTCTGCTCCTGCGTGGCCGGATCAACCATCAACGATGCCGCCGCTGATCCTGCCAACTGTGACGCCTACACTCAATTCGCCTACACTCATTCCGCTGATGCGGCTGCCAGTGGACTGGCAAGGAGACATATGCGAGAACGATTGGAGCAGCTCCGACTTGAAAGTCAGAAATTGTGCCCCGGGCAGATGAAAGCCTGCAAGCTTGAAGAGATGTCTGACACGTACGAGGTAAGCATCGACCATAGGTCCTCCTTATGTATTTGGATGAGCCGTATTGACTATGAGTATAGTGCGTGGACACTACCTCTGAGCTTGAATCGTGCGGAGGCTGTCTCTTTGGCGAGTTCGGCAAAGATGATGCCATCTCACCCATCGGTACCGAGTGAGTCTATGAACCATGCCTTTCAGATCGTCCGAACAGTTCTCGCGCTAACGATATCCCTAACCATGGCAGCTGTTCCACACTGGCTGGTGTCTCGCTCGGCGCTGCTACTTGCCGAGACTCAGTATGTGAGGCCTATGCTTGCAACCGAGGCTACGAGTTGGTCTCGGGAGAATGTGTTGCCACTGTCAGCGCCTGAGAGCCGACATGATCTTTGGTCATTCATACGCAACTTCGAACTGAAAGACCCTTTCATACTACGACCAATACCACAAAACGGAGCCATCTCACATTCATCTATTCCGGGTTTTTTAGGTTTCTCTTCTCAATGCATACTTCATACATAGCCTCGCACGGCTCATTGGTCAACCATTGACGGACATATACATGAGATTGTGTGTCGCACGTCATCAACATGGTCCATGGCCCAATACGCTCATCAATTTACCACCTTGCATCTACGGCCATAGAATTGAGAAAGCATTGGGTCCCGTCTGCTCCCCGTAATGATAACCTCAATATCGCTCAGTTAGTACCATCGTGGGGGACCAGGTGGGAATCCCGGGTGCTGTAGTTTTTACATTTTGCAAAAGATTCTCCTATGTCGGGGGGGTCTCCCCAGTGCCCTATGTACCCTCGAGAGCTAGCCAAGTCTCCTGTTGCATAAGATCGCCGCAAGATCTTCCCGGGAAGCTTTGACATGTTCATGCCATTCGCATGGCTCTACCACTGCCACGCCACGACTGTACGTAGGCCTGTCTTGTCTCTGGTCCTATGGTGGGCGATTTGATCCCGTTGGCATGGTCCGATTCCCCCCTCACGCGTCCACAGCGCCTTTAGTTTAGCGAGACAATGTCAAGAGCTATTCTCGGCTCTATCCCATCTTCAAAGCTACTACTCATTCACCCAAGACTTTCTTCAGACATAACATCGTTTGCCGGAGAGTTAGATTTGACTACAAACCGGCACGAGATTTGACCGCGAGGATCTCGTAAAGGCGCTTGAAGCGCTTCACCCCGTCGGCTCGAACGACCATCTCAAGTACGCCTAACGCCCGCCATCTCGCTTTTTGACCGCTCGACCCGGCACGACACACACGTCAAATCACTGGGCAGTCCAATTCGGAGACGTACTACCCGGCTCGTCTATTGCAATAGGCTGAGCTTAGAGTGTAGGAGCACGTAGAGCCAGTCTTCTGCATTTTCCGAGATGGAGCAGTATCCAGATGGATTTGTGGATGTGAAACGGCCTGAAGACATGGATGAGAACGACTATCGATCACGACAATATTGTAAGCTTGTCACGGTGTGCTCCCTCGATGGTCCCACATGCTCTCACGGCTGTTGCTGACATCTCAATGGGTTCATAGCTCAAGACGCGGTCCAACCGCCTTCTCCCATCAAACCGCAACTAGGTCACGCATCTTCCTCAACATCCACAAACGCACCGTCGGCCTCGCACTACTATGATAGTAGACAAAACTCGGAATCAAGACCTAGCTTGAGCAATGACAGGAGGCTCTCGTCGGGGCTGGGAGGAGGTATGGGGAGTTTAGGAAGCATCCAAACTGCGGCGCAGGAGGACGTGATACCCGTGGGATTTGACGAGGGGATTCTGAGAGGACTGTGTGACCTCGATGTGAGTCATGGATTTCCAAATATCGGCAGGATGGCCACGTAGATTGGATAAGTTTATCCAAGATCGTTTAGGCGTCTGCTGATTGAATGGCTGGGTCACCTAGTGTGCACTTCCTCTCCTCGCAGACCGAATAAAACAGAGCATTGCGTCTTGCAAGGTGTGTCCTGTTCAACCCGAGCTGTTACTCGGAAACCTTTCTGGAAGCTGATGTGTTGCCGGGTGATAGCAAGTCGCGGTTTTCTTCAGATCTAGAGCAGATATCGAGGAGAAGTACGCTAGATCCTTGATGGAGCTTTGTAGGACAACCGGAGATGTGTACGCGAGAGCGGACTGTAAAGCTGGGTAAGTTGCTACGCTCTCTGAGATTCGCAAATTACGTTCATTTCTGTGACTGCAATGCTGAAAATCGAATTCCTAGGTCTTTCGTTTCTGCGTACCAAGGTGGTCTCAAACTGCAAGAGCAGCTGGCGCAGAACCGGATTCGGTTCTCGCAGAGACTAAACGAGATGAGCGATGAGCTGCTTAGTTTGGCAAGAGAAGGAGAGAAGATGCGCAAGGTCGTAAGTAGTCAACGGTTCCACCTTGTCCAGTACAGAGCGCTTGACCTGATTCGACCTGGTGTATAGCACAAGGACAATGGGACCCGTTATCAAGGGATCCTGCAAGAAAGCGAACAGGTGATGGACAAAGCGAAAGCTCGCTTCGACGCGACCGCCGAGGAGCTCGAAAGATTGCTCGTAGCTAAAGAGGGAGAATCTTTCAAGGATGCCGGCATGCGATCTTCGGCTTCTACATCTTCGACTACGACGGCTGGTGGGGCGCATGCCGGTGCTGGAGGAGGAAAGAGGGCTCTGAACAAGGCTATCAATAAAGGCGGCTTGCTGTTCAAGGGCAAAGGGGCGGGATCAATTCAAAGACAGGAGGACGATGTCCGAGCGAGGATGGCACAGTCAAGCGAGACTTTTAGGAAGGCCGTGTTGGAAAGCCAGGCGTTGAGGCAGGAATACTTCAACTTCCAGCTACCCAAGATTCTTCGAGTAAGTGAAACCTCTACTCAGGTTCTGTCGCGATGACGTGACTGACTAGCAAATGACCAGCTTCTGAAAGAATGCGCAGACGAGCTGGACCTCGGCACGCAATACCACTTGACGCGTTACGCCTTTTTATATGAGTCAACGCTCGTCTCGGACGGAACAACTCTGAACCCTATGAGTGCAGCGGATGAAGGTCAGTTCAAGATCGTTCCTTTTTCTTCTCGCTTGCTAGACTGCGACTGATATTGTGTTTGTCTTTGATGCAGGACCCGGTCTCAAAACGATCTATGAGGGTATCGATAACCGCTCGGATTTCAAGTCGTACATGCAGAACTATGCTGTTGCTAGAGGTACGCCTAGGGGACCAAGGAGAGAAGGCCCGTACGAGGAAGGCTTCGTAAGTTGCTGGCAAAACGCTCTGTCATCCTGGATAGGGAAAACGAACTGAATCGTGGGCGATGCAGCTTCCACCCCTCCCGCCCCACATCCAGCGCAACGCTGAGACAGGCTCGATTCACCAAGGAGTTCCATCTCAACCTCCATCGCAATCTCAACCTCAAGGGTCGCACGTATCCCAGATCTCGATTGGCTCTACCAACACCGCCGTCTCTGCCAGTACGAACGGGACTGCGCACCAAAATGTTCATTTCACGCATTCGCACGCTCAAGAGGGGTCGTCCGACGGATGGGTCCCGCCTGGTATACCTGCCGCTACGGGCGCGACGTTTGGCGTGGATTTGGGCGAACAGCTGGCAAGGGATGGAGCCGAAGTGCCAAGGGTGGTTGAGAAGTGCGCGCAGGCCATTGAAGCGTATGGTGAGCATAAATCCACTTTTCCAGCCATCGTGATAGTCAGAACTGATGCCAAAAAAAACTCTACATAGGTCTGCAATCTATGGGTATCTACAGATTGTCGGGTACGACATCAAGAGTGCAAGCGCTTAAGAACGCTCTTGATCGAGGTCAGTTCTGATGCTATACTCCATATGTTCCGGCAATTCGGCTAATCACTCTCATTCGCTGCTCGCTGCGGAAACGTTTTCAACAGATATTGATAACGTCGATGTGCTGTCCGACGAGTGGAGTGCCGATATCAACGTCGTCTCGGGTGCTCTGAAATTATGGTTCAGAGAGCTGCCGGAGCCGCTCTTGACTTATGGGCTGTACAATTCGTTCATCGAAGCTGCTCGTGAGTCATATCACTTGTGTATCATCATCACATGTTTCCAGACTTGCTCCATAGGCATGAGCTAATTTGACGCGTCTTTCACTTGTTGCTTTCCGGTAACAGGCTATGACAACGACAGATTACGGCATATCAGATTGCACGAGCAGGTCAACGAGCTGCCTGATCCCAACTATGCTACTCTGAAGTTCTTCATGGGTCACCTGGATAGGTCAGTACTCAATCCCCTTGTCCCTCGCCACGCAAACACTTCCTGTCAAGCAAGGAATGGTCCGCTGACTCCATGTTGAACGGCATACAGGGTCAGAAGAAATGAATCTGTCAACCAGATGTCGGTCTCGAATCTCAGTATCGTCTTTGGACCTACGCTGCTTGGTGCGCCGCCAGAAGAGGGTGGCCTGAACCTCGAGCACATGAGCTTCCAATGCAAGGTTCGTTATGCTCCATCCCAGGCAACAAGTGGACCTGATCGGGTGGAATGCTGAACGCTGACACTGTGGGGTGTGTGGATCTACAGGCCATCGAGACGATTTTGGAGAAGTACAGCGAGATCTTCGTGGAAGAAGAGGACAGCGGTCACGGCGGAGAGGACCCGGCTGAGTCGACATGACATTGGACCCCTCAAAATGCATATGCGCCGAGCGCAATGTCCCGGTAGGAGGAGTATCGGAAGGTGATTGTACTTTTTATCTCAGATGTAGGGTGATAGGTTCTTTAGCTTAGACGACATATACGAGTATCGCAATATACCTGGCTCTCTTCAATACCCACCCGAGGCTTCCACTTATCAGCAAACCAGCCAATGTTATGCCATGTTATAGGAAATGATAGTCACAACGCATGATAGGGAATCAAATCTGAAGTGATGTACGCGACAGAAAATGGAGTTATGGTTGTTCTTGGTTGGAAAGCCGTAATAGCTCAGGAAAAAGCTCGCAAACTCTATCCTCACAAGCCCCTCTTCCGCCCTGGGTTAGACTGACTGCCCTTGACTTTCATTCCGTCATCCACCGGCGGTAACTTGGCAGTGAGTGGTCTAGAACAAGGGTGTTCTTCACGCTGGCACTGATATAGTACAGTGATCTATATGAGGGCAGTGTGTAGCAAGTGTCATACGTCGGAGCGCATGAAAGGTTGACAGATAGCAGCAACGCATGTATCATATTGTATGAGCACTTAACAGTCGACGCGTCTACTTCATTGTCTATCGTCTATCACCTATTCTCTGTCGCGTCGCTCGCTCCGCTCCGTACACCCGATCTTCAGAAATTCCAACATCAGCCGTCCCGACAACGCTTTCTTTTCTGATTTACAGTTCTCGATTGAAGCCTACGCCTTACAAAGGAGGCGGATTGCCACGGACACGGACACGGAGTCAAGGAGAAGAGGGAGCAGATCGACATAAAGGATCAGATCAATCAATCTATTGTCGGCTCGGCGGTCGGTGCGGGATAATCAGTCTTACTGAACATCAGTGTCATTCCGCACGTTCATCACGACTCCCTCGGTGTCGGTGTCGGTCGATCAACAGATTCGCCCTCGCATCGCAAAGTACATTGACGGCTGTCATCGCGCGCTCGATCCATCATCTATCGTACAAATAACCCCCCACACATCCTTGGACCCGACCGAGCGAATGTGTCATTGACCAACTCAATCAATCAATCATCACCATCTGGCCCAGACATCTCCAGCCGACCCGACGCGTATCAGTACGC